CAACTTATGTATACATACCGATTTTCATTACTCTACATTCAATAATAAAAATGATATGGAAGAAATAAGGAAAGTCAAGTTGGGCATGAAAATTTGTAACTTTTTTGTAATTGAACCAACTCTTTATAATATGTCCTACTTCGGAAGATACTAATGGTGTACAGCTTCAAAGTGACCACACTGTGTATAGTTGGTTTATTCTAAAAGTTACATTTTGGTTATAAAATATTCATAAAACTATTATTAGCAAATGAAAAAATAACAAAGAATATTATGTTAATTATGTTATGTAAAAAATGGCTTCAAAACAGGAACTATCCACCTTTCTACCAAGTACATATACGTTAAATTTTTTTAATAGAATCCGTAATTCTCTATAATAAAATTTTATATGTATGTATTCGAATAATAAATAGGTATTATTAAATAAAGACAATAACGGGTGAATTTATAATTTGGCATTATGGACATGACGCTGTATTAAACTTATTTAAATCATATGAATTGTGATTCAACACAATGACATTTGCATTTGGAATTTGTCACAACGCAACTTCACAGAGATTTCACAAATGCTACGTTTTTATTTGATTTTTTTTTATTAATTTTGAATTTAAACGTGATGTTTAAAAAAAAATGTGTCGCCGCTCATGATGAATTTTTCTAGGAATGGAAATTTTTTTTCATGAAATACAGGGTTTGAAAGTTTTGTATTTTCTCGTTTTTCAAAATATAGCCAAAATAATTTTAGTAATTTGAATGAAATTTGGGTTGTGAATATGTATTTTATATGCGTATATTTTAGTAGCCTAGCCAGGGGCGTGCCTACAAACTGGTGCCAGTATAATTACTTATATGTAGATATAAGTAACTTATTTCCAGTCGCGAATACGAGAGTACAAATTAACAAATAACTAAAAATTAAATACTAAAAATAAATATAATAAAATATAACATTTACCTGTGCAAATATTTCCTTAGGTCAAATAGCAACACAAATACTAGAGGATGTATCCACTAAAAATCTCAAAATTCGACGACAGAATTTTAATAATTCGATTAGAACATTTAATTCCTAATTGTATTTCGTAGAAAAAAGATCTGTTCCAATAGATTTAGATAGGTAACGAAGTATTTTCAACTTACTAATTTTAACCCTGAAATAAACTTATCATATTTAAATAAATCGAGAGTAGCTCTGAAATTACAATTTTTATTTAATTGGGTGTTGCTGCAAGAAATGGCACTTAATTAAATAAAAAATATACAAGTAAATAATTACAGACAATTAGATATTACTAATTTCAAAAAAAATATGTTTGTTATAAATACGATTTTAAATATGTCATCAAATTTTCAAAACAATTATGGGAATAGAAAACTTTTTTGAAGCAATATCCCGCTGAAAATTTAAAAATTCAAAGTTAATGATTTTTTAAATTCTTTGACAACGAAATTGTATTCAAAATCGAATTTATGAAACAAAGTTCCCACAAATGTTTCCTGTAAAACAAGTAATTTTATAGTTATTATGGAATTGTTCCATTCTATGGTAAAAAATGATATTTCGAAGGGTCGTCTTTTCATTGAAATACAATGGAGGATCAAATTTACCTGTCGAGTGTCAAAAATACCCCGTGACATCATTCTAGATTTCTTAGTGGCAGCATGTCCCAGTTTCCCTGGTTTCCATAATTATTATTGTATAAAAGAGATGTTACATTACATTCTTCAAAAACTAACACCCTGTTTCTCGAAAACTAAGCCGTTTATAAAACAGGTGAATGCGATCTTTTCGCATAAAATAATAATTTCTGCAATAGTTTTCAGTATATAAGTTGCATTCTGTATCTCGTCAATAAATAAGAAAGAAGTGCAGATTTTAAAAATATTTTGAGTTCTGTAGTTTATAAAAGTAAACCACAACTAAAAATGTATTGTTATTATTTTAAAAAAAGTAAAAACTACATTGGTTATATCACACTTTCATGTTTTTATGAAAGTAAAAATAAAGGTTCGTAGAATAATAGAACATACCTACTTAACACCATCATTTTTTCATATTATATTTCAATATTCAAATTTGCACAATTTGATACCCTAAATATCAAATAATTCCATAATGACTGTGATTCCATAATACTCTAAAATACTTCCAGAAAAAAATATTATTTATTTCGAGGAAAAAAACTTAAAAACCACATACATTGTTTTGATGAAATATATATTAGCACTTCGTATACATTTTCAGTTAGTTTTTTTAAAGATAATTTGAATTAAAAAAAATACTGTGATATTCATACTAAGCCTTTCAGAAATATATTTTCTTAGTTGCCACAAATATTATTGTTTTCTATTTTCTATTGTCTATTTAGATTATTGTTATATCGAGAAGAAATTTTAAACAGGATGTTACAAAATTGATATTGTTTATGCAATTGGTTTGTACTTTGTAACATTTTTGATGGAGGAACTAATTAGTCCAAGAATCCAAAACAATATTAAAGGTCGGTTATGATTAAAAATTATAATTAATGATATTGTGAGGAATAAATAGTCAACGGATCCGATCAGGATTAAATTACAACCACAATCTCCAGTAAACAGCCAAGATAATTCTTCAGCAGAACCACCAGATATTATACCGGTTTCAAAATTACTATGGCACAATTGAGAAAACCAACGGATGATCTATATATTTTGATTAGTGTCTACGGAAGGGATTGGCTAATCTACAAGACCCTATAGACTATGCCACTAGAACATTGTATGTGAATAACATTTTATATTTTTCTAAATATTTATTTGAGCCACATTCACGCGAAAATTTCGTACAATCAAAATAATTCTAGACGCACCAGAATAAGAGAATAAAGTCGTAGGTTACATACGGACACCGGATTCGGATTCAGCGACCCCAAAACCGTATAGGTATGTACTTTATTGGCAATTGATTATTTGCATTTGATCTTGAACTAACATTAACCCAGATCTGATCGGGTCAAACCGTTACCACCGAGATAGGTCGGTGGTAACGGTCAAACGGACACCAGATTCGGATTCAGTGAGAGCAAAAATATATAGATACTTGTCTTTCGGCCCTCCTACTTTTTTTTGTGGGGCTGTGTAATGAATCTAAGTTTATGAGGTGAACTTAAATAACACTGGGGAACAATTTTCAATATAATTTCTGCTAACTTTGATTTTCCAGCTGTTTTAGACCTAGATAAGCATGCTGCTTTCAAAACTGCAGTCAGTTTCGTGCTTTATTTGTCGAATTAATTAAACTGCTTACCCATATCTCCACCACTAATGGCTAGTAATACTTATTAGGGAGACATATTGCGACAAACTATTTAATCATAAGCCGCACCGAGTTTTACGTAAGTATCTCTACTCACTTTCAAGGTAATAAAAAAATATATTTTTTGCAATCTTGAACACCCTGTGTCACGAAAACGAAGCATTTGTGGCCCTATGTTTGTATACAGGGTGATTCAGAATTTATCCAAAAAAAATTTTGGATGTACAGGGAACTCTTACAAATACAATTTTGTAAAGAGAAAATAAAAAATGGCAGTTCGAAAATGATTTAAAAATACACTTCTGCATGGCACTGGAAACTGGTCCATTGTAAAACCTGACCTCGCACAATGCGACTGGCATGGTGACAGAGTGCGATAAAAACGGACAAACACTTTTGCAAGGAAAGAAATAAATAGAATTTTACAGCACTTATTTTATATCAGCAAATTCAACTGCTTTTGCCGTTACTGTTATTATTAATTAATAAAATTAATTTGTGTTTTTAAATAATAAAATAATTTGACATACCCGATGTTACAACAACTGTTCAAAACTTTATTCACCGACGTGTAAACACATTTGGGTCCGTCTCACTCAGTTTCTATGAACTAGTGGCTATACACGCAAACCATTTTTGACACTAACTACTAGAAAATTATTGTAAACACCACAGATAACAGGTAAACACTATCGCAACGACGATTGTAAAATCGGATTTCAGTATTCGGAGTCGCTGAGTCACGTGACTCTCCCCGCGTTTTGCGAATGACGCTAGAGACTACAGTTATCCAGCTATGTAATGTTTGAATGTACTACGACTTCAATAATTTTTTTCTCTGAAACTATAAAGATTTTACAATTTTTTTTTACGATATTGACTCCATTTCTCATGCCGCACCTATTTCCAAATTTTTTTTTAGATAATTTGTGAATCACCCTGTATATTGTTAGAAACACAAATGGCTGTGACCACACAAAAAAATGTCTGTACTTTTCATGCGACATATGTTTTCCGTAGTATTTTTGCCTCCTGATCACGAATCCGGTGTCATAATTGAGCTATCACATTACAGGAATTTCCTAATCTCAGAAAACAGGTTAAAAATAGGAAAAGTGCGAAACAGTGCTAGGAAAAATACAAAAAAAATTCTCTATATTCAAATGTTCATTTATACGGTTACGACCCCTCCGAACGTGAATTCGCGGTCAGATACGATGTTTTTTTTTAACCTCAAGAAAACGAGTCAATTAAGATCAGTTATCACGAATTTTCAAATTCGCGCCAAATTTGGTATACGGGGGTTTTCCGGGTCGCTGATTACGGATCCGAAGTAAATTTTGCAAAATTCAATTTCCAAAAAATAACACATTCGCGGCAATATTGTTTCAAAATTATTTTGTAAATTTATCTGAACACCAAGAAAAAAAACAAAATATGTTAAAATCTTTAACTTATATCTAAAAAACAAAATACGGACGGGCTCATGTTATAAAAACTTTTTATCTTATTTTTCACGCCACCGAGTGAAAAGCCGCCATGAAAGCGAGGCCGGCCAGTAGAAGATATCCCGTGATTCAGGCGATCTATACCAAGGCGATGCTGTATATCGAGGAATCGCATTGTCGTGACGGTCTAGGCCGAACGGAGTAGACTTTAAGACTCTCCACGTGGACCTAGTGCATTTTGCTTCGTGATGCACGCTGAACGTAATCTTATCGCAATTGCTCACTTTTCATGCGCAGAGTGTACGTCTTTTTCTTACTATATAAGAGCATTTATCCCAAATTTGTAGTTAGTTTATTTACATCTTTCATTTGTAATTTGCGTGTAGTTTTACTTTTTTACATTAGGACCTCTGCTCTTGGATTATTTTTTCTTCATATCAGGGTGAGTTTCTGGTTATAATTTTTCTTTTCATATTTGCACTTTCCTTTTTTTCACATAGGTACATAACAACATTTCAACCTACCTAGATTCAACTTTTGTTGTAATGTCATTAACTTGTAGTTTTTACATAGGTAGATTTTATACCTACCAAAAATGTGTGGGTACTATAAAATTTACCTATTCATACTCGTAATATAATTTTTCTACTAGTTCTACCAGTTTAATATTTCAAGCAAAACAGTACCCAGTAAAATAGAGTATTATGTATAAGGAAAATATTGATTGGTACAGTTGCTTTCATTATACGGGACCAATTTGTTTAAATATATCTAGGCAATTATTAAACTTAAATTAATTGTTATGTTTTGCTATATATTCATATTAAATAATTTATTAATTTTTTAGATATGTGCATTCACATATGAAATAGTTACTTAATGAGTATCATGTAAATTAGTTTTAAAATATAATGTAGGTACCTAAATTCTCTGTACAATAATTTTAGTAAATTTAAATGTAGCGTTGAATAGGTACTTAGGAAGTATGTGAATACACACCTGTATCGGTCAAATGATAAAAGCAACAAAACATACCTGAATAGAATAATATATTTATAAAGGGTCTAGCAGGATAAGATAAGGTCAGCGGCCCAAGAAAGGTATTTTGAAAATGACTTGTGTGGTAACATCGGCAAGATATAAATCTACCATTGACACAAATTCAGCCTCGCATCTCGCTGCGTTCTGGTGATAATTGATCAAATAGGCGCTAGAGTGGGTATTTTTCAAAATTGTTTTTTTCGAAAACTATTGCAGCTATCTTAATGAAACAAAAACTGTTCGTTAGAAAAAACATTAGTCTACATTATATATTTTTTATAGAATTTTTCTGTCTTACTTACTATTAAAAAAAATAAAAATATTTTTTTTCTAGATTTTATTCTTAGTTCACGCAGAGGTACAATCACAGAAAAAATAATGTAACTTACTATGTCTAGTATTACTACCAAAAAGTGCATAAATATAAAATGGGTGCAACACTATCAAAAAAAATTAAAACTTCTTATGACCATCTTAGGTACTCCTGATTTCCCAATTGTGACACCATTATCATCTGTTTGTTAGTAGTAGTTAAAAATGTAAGGAAGACTTTGATTTTGACATAAACAGATGAAAATTGTTTGTGGAACTACAACGTTTTTAGAGAACAAGACACTGGCTTTCCAGCTAGTCGCGTGTGTGCGTTGTGTTTTGTTTACGTATCATTTTTATACCTGCACCACTATAGTAGCTCGACTTCAATTATTATGTGCGTCAATGTTTTAAATATATGCGAAGTTGCGGAAGGGATTTTTGATGGACCCCAGATCCGTAAGATGTTAAAGGATCACATTTTTGTTACTAAAATAAATGGAAACAAGAAAGCAGCATGGTTATATTTTAAGGAAGTAATTGAAAATTTTCTAGGAAATCGAAATCCAAACTATAAAAATAGTGCGAATTTGATAGAAGGCTTTAAAAACCTAGGCAGCTTGACATGAACTCATCATGGATATTTCCTTATCAATGTCAAAGTCAACATATCTATTTTTATTAACTATGCGCCGAATAATTTTTATTAATAATGCTAACCTTGGAGCAACGAATTTATCTTGTGAAACGTTATGGAATCGGTAATATTTCATATCGATATGCAATATAATTTTTTTATGAAAAGTATCCATAACTCGTAGAGCAAGCTAATTATAAAATTCGGCACCACTGATGATGTAAAGAATATTAAAAAGATAAAAATGAACAGATGATAACGATGCTGCTACTGTTGTGGTTATGAACTCTGTACAAGATAATCCAAAGTTGTCACTCAGGCAAAGGTCAGAAAATATAGAAATTAGCAGGTCTCATATTTAAAGAATTTTAGTAGACAACAAAATCTATCCAATTAAACCAGTGTTTAATCGTCGTTTGGACTTTTGTTTAACAATGGGCGAGAAACTTATTGCAAACAGATTCTTTCATCACCAGATTTTATTTACTGACGAATCAACTAATGGCGTTGGTGTCCTCTCAAAATTGTAGATACTGGAAAACATAATCCAAATATTCGATTGATAACCCATAGTGAAAAATTTTAAAAAGTGTCTGATGTGGCATAATATTATATCATAAAATAATTAGTCCGTACTTTTGTTAAGAAAATCTTAATCAAAATTCATATTTGGAAATTATCAATAATATTGTTTTGGCAGAACTACATAGCGAAAATTTAAAGTTCAGAAGAAAACTAATATTTCAACAAGACACTGGCTTGACGTTCACTTCCCGAACAACTGGCTCGTACGTTATGGACCAATACCTTGGTCTTCATGGGCACCCGACTTGTCCCCATTAGATTATTTCTCATGAGGGTACCTAAAGCAAAAAGAATATTCAAACTATTTTGACGATAACATTAATTTATTTAAACAAAAATTTCATGGAACTGTTGCCACCATAAACGAAGAAATGATATCGTCTGTGTACAAAAAATTTCATTCAAATTTCACTGAATTTTACTCAACAATGTATCAATTTCTGTCCACACTTTTTACAGGAATTTAGAAAAATATTTAAAAAATGTGTAGTACCTACTGCTTCGTCGTTGTTGTTGATTCCAGTTCTAATTTGTATTTTTGTGTTTTTTAATTAGAAACGCTACTGTTATTTGGTTTGGCAGTTGTTAATAGTAGAACAATTTCGGAGCCGGTTCCACGTCGCCGGTTTAAGTTACTTGACGTTCAAGAGACATATTCCTCTTTTCAAAAACTCGAAAACCTATTTACTTCTGAGGAAGAGACATGTCTCTCGAAACGTCAAAAAACCTAAACCATTTTTATATTATATTAAATTTAAAAAAAGTTTGCTTATTATTATTATTTCTTACAATTTCTGTCTGCTTTAAAATAGTTAAAAATCGCTTCTTCATATTTGCAAAGTGTGATTATTCTTCTTTTTTGAGTATTTAAGCATTTTTTGAGTTTCACATTTTGAAAATGTTTAGACGTCCTGTCTGTTTTATTACATATTTTATTACTGNGCTGGTGAAAAGGGCGTAAAAGGATTTTCTTCTAAATTGATAAGTATAGCTTCTTCAAAGTTTACATTTCTGATATGCCGTCTTTGACCATTACCCTCACGCTTAGGTTGAATTTGGTCAGTTTCTCGCAACCTTCTATCCACAGCTGAAAAAGTTTGCCTGTGGGGAATCCGGCGATTTGGATATCTCTCATGGGACAATCTTGTTGCGGCAGCACAATTTTTGTGACATTCAAAAAATATTTGGAGCATATCAACATACTCATTGTTAGTAAAATGTGCCATAATTAAACAACTATTATTTGAAACCGTTGATGACACACACATCAACACAAAAATAGCAAATTGTTTACTCAGCAAATTTGTTTCCGATTTACCAGGAGCAACTATGATGTTGGTGAAGTATTCCCATACTTATCCTTAAACAAATCGTGTTAGATTGTGTTCAAAGGAAAGTGGGAACGGAACTACTTTCAAAATATTCTTTATAAAATTTTTACTTTAAAATAACGTTATGTTGTAGTATTACATTCGAGATTACAGTAGGTAGTATTAAATTAGATATTATTACTTAAATTAGACACTTAAAATAATTTTATTTGTTACATAAAGAATACTCCTAAATAAATTTATTAAAATTACTTTACGAGAAAGGCGTTTTTTTTGCTATTACAGAATGGTGTGTTGATGTGTTTGTTACTGCAACCATTGGCGCTGTAAAATTTCCGAAGTATGTTTTTCGTAAATTATCTATAAAAATAACTATTGCGTTTATCGAAAAATGCAAGAGAGAAAAAATGTTTGTTTTTAGTTGTTACGTCCGAAAATGTAAATAAAATATGTAATTTCATACAGGGTGAAAAATTCTTTGGAGTAATTTGTTGCATGTAGTCGACAGCAGCGCATCTGGTGGATATATTTAAACGATATTAATAGAAAGTATGTGTCCGCACTGGACAAATGTCTGTACAAAATATAAATGATTTACGCCACATCGTTCAAGATAAATTGAAGAAAATATTGGTTGGCTCTACAACATTCAAGACCCTGTAATTCCTCAGGAGTGCAACTTTTGTCTAAGGTATATTTAGTTCATTCGCCTTATTTTTTCATCTAGATGTACTGGTAGCGTTTGTGCTACTCTATTCAAAATCACCCTGTATATAATATGTTGCCAATTACAATTATTCATTCTTACAGAATTCTGTAATAGAATGGTCGAGGGATCACAGAGTCCACCACAAATTCAGCGAAACCGACGCTGATCCTCACAATGCCAAACGCGGATTCTTCTTTTCTCATGTCGGATGGCTCCTTTGCCGCAAACATCCCGATGTCAAGAGCAAAGGAAAGAGTGTTGATATGTCTNGGCCAGACACAGTGAGGGAGCCAGTTGTTGTCCTTTAATGTCAGTGGTGTTTCGATTTTGATATTATGAAAACGACCTTCTTGTATTATATGTTTTGTGATCATTAGTACCATTACAATGAAACTGTCACTATGAAAGATGCCTACTATGTAAAAATGTTTTAAAAAATGTTATTGTTCTGAGCCAAACATTATTTAAAAAATAATTATTTCTGACTAAACTACGCAGAATTCGATGACATTTTTTCTTCAAAAAAGTCTAATTCATTAAAAAATAATATTATTTGCTTGATTATTAAAAGGAATAAAAAAAATTCGAAAAATTTCTGTTAAGAGTAGTTACAAAACTATCCTTATTTACAACCGATTTTGATAAAACTTGTGGTAGTTAAAGACCCTTATGGTATGATTATTACTTACAATTTTCATTGCGTTATCTTAATCAGAAAGAAAATAATTTAAAAAAATATCCAAATGATAAGACCCCTTAGGAGGGCCATATTTCAGTAACAATGCTCCGGAGGACCAATGTTTATAGAACTTTTTATACTATTTTTGGCTCTACTTTCACCCCCTTAAATTTTGTATCAACTTTTCCAAACACCCTGTATATTAACTCTTGAAGTTAAGTGATGAAAATCGGTATTTTGTAATAACTTTTTTGTAATTTATTAAATTTGTATAATTTTAGGGTAAAAGCCATGTTATTTGGAATTAGGTCTACTAATGTGTGATGATAATGTCGGCCCGGAACAAATGTATATTTTTTTCAATTTTTTATTTAAATATTATTGTCATATATAAACTACTAAACAGTCATGATAGTTTCAATACAGGTTTGTTTTAGAGACAATAATGTAGGTATCGATTGGTTCACTGATAGGATATATAAATTGCCATAACCTATATTGTACGTTACAAATACAATAAATAACATTTTAACTATCCGTTTATTTAACTAAATACTAATCGAAACTTAATATAAGTATTGTCTTTAATTATTGTAATTAAATCACTGCATTTAAATACAGTTTTCACTAGAATACCAGATAAACCGATACTTGTCCAACTCCAAAGCACACCATATGCCATACTGCCATCCTCCACGCCAAGGTCACGAGATAACCTAATGGGGCGATGGGAACAGACAAAGATAATGCATATGGATATGAAAAATGGTGGGATCACTCAGTAATAAGGGCATTTACTCTGATTTAGGTACAAGTGTACCAAATACGAGTTTACGTTAGGACCTATATTTGAGTGAATGTACTCAGATTCAGTTTAAATATAATCACAAATGAGTAAAATGATCAAAATGCCCAATATTGAGTGAAAATGTACTCAATCATTTCACTCAATCGATTCACTTCGATTTTTTACAGGAATTTAAAAAAAAGATTTAAAAAATGTGTAGTACCTACTGCTTCGTCGTTGTTGTTAATTCCAGTTCTAATTTGTATTTTCGTGTTTTTTAATTAGAAAAACTACTGTTATTTGGTTTGGCAGTTGTTAATAATAGAACAATTTCGGGGCCGGTTCAACGTCGCCGGTTTAAGTTACTTGACGTTCAAGAGACATATCCCTCTTTTCAAAAACTCGAAAACCTACTTACTTCTGAGGAAGAGACATGTCTCTCGAAACGTCAAAAAACCTAAACCATAATAATTGGGTCTTACTTTTTGGAAGAAAATCTTGGTCAAAATTTGGAAACTGTCAATAATTTAGCCATTTTTATATTATATTAAATTTAAAAAAAGTTTGCTTATTATTATTATTATTATTATTATTTACAATTTCTGTCTGCTTTAAAATAGTTAAAAATCGCTTCTTCATATTTGCAAAGTGTGATTATTCTTCTTTTTTGAGTATTTAAGCATTTTTTGAGTTCTCGAACTTTGCTCAGAGAAAAATTTCACATTTTGAAAATGTTTAGACGTCCTGTCTGTTTTATTACATATTTTATTACTGCCCATGGCTTCGCAAGATAAGCAAAACTTTTTATCAAAAATCACTTTTTCTCGAAAAACAGTAAAAAAGTTTACAAGAATGTGGTGCTACTCCTTCCGGGGACACACTGTATATTCACGTTACTTATATCTTGGGAGATTTTAAAGCGAATTATACAAGGTAAAACTTTATTTATAGAATGTATATGTATAAGATATTTATGATATCTTGGCTTTTTCTTAAGTCTGGATTAATAAACTTTGTTTTTAAGATATAGAACCCCTATAAAACGCAGTAGGTACTCAAAATGTTTAATTTTTCTAATAAATTATTTAAGTTTGAAATGCTTTTGCAATACTAATAGAGATAATGACCTTAGATGTAATTTTGTAACTGGAAGATTCTTATGAAACATGTTATGATTTTGAAAATTTAAAATATTTTTCGATTTGCTTTTCAAGTGTGACTATGATATTTGTGTAATACAGTAGCATAATATGGTGATTTGACAATTCAGTGGTGTTATTTTACGAATTCACATAAACTTATGTGTAAAAATAAATTAGCTCCAATGTGGAGTATTCTTGGGTTTCTTGGATTTTCGTTATAATTTTGTAAATTTGTTTAATAAAAAAATTTCTCCGAAAATATTTTGAAATACATTTTGACTGAACATTATTTCTTTTTGTTCAGCAGTCTGAAAATGGCTCCAAATATTTCTATACCTACTGGAGTTCTCCACGAGCACGACGAAGAGGTGGTTGCAAAAGCCATTCCACCAGAGGTGGTCAAACCAAGTGACCGCAAACTTAAACTAGTTTGGAGGAATATCATCATTTTCGCCTATCTTCATACTGTGGCTGTGTATGGGATTTATTTAATGTTTGCTTGTGCCAAGATAGCAACATCCATATATGGTAAGTTGAACTTACAAAGTGTATATTCAATCCATGGAATATATTCTTCATAGAAATGTACAAAAAATAAATATTATATTATTGTTAATAGCTACATACTTACTCTTTTGCAATACAAGCTTGACCAATATGTCTGTTTAATATTTTACTTATATTTATGAAGCAACCAATCATCTTTGACCATTTGTTCTCTGTTGGAAAATTTATTGTATTTGTAATATAGGTATGCACCTACGTACTTAAAAATACCGGCGGAAGGTTCCCAATTTTCAATACTAATAGGTATATCTGTCAATAGTGCATAATTTTAAATTCCATTGATTACTCGATGAAGATACGTGCAAGTCGGTTGCGTCGAGCCAAGTTCATAAACATGAGAAACTCATGTGAGGTCATACAGCGCCGGTAGTAGTAATTATTTTACATTTGTTTATTATAATTAAAATTAGATTCAGGATGTCGATATTTTACTTATAAATCGGATTCAGTATCATTATTATCTAATTTTAGCTAATTTTAAAAAGTAAATACATTTTTCACATACAATATATTAGTATACCAGTATAAGCATTGGCAACATTAGTAATCAGCAATCAGCAGGGGACCTCATTATAAAAAAAAGTTGATGTAAACATGCATGGGTCGGAGAAATTTTTAAAATTGATTTTTTCCGTTTTTCTTTTGTATCTACACTGAAAGAAATGCGTTTTATTCTTAATTAGAATTCTATATGCCATTATAAGACCATTGTATACTATATGTGACAGTTAAACAGGTGAATATTGGATATAAAACGCATATTGCTAGCACAGTTGTATAGTAACTATAAACCTTACTCTTTATTAAATTATTGTATANGGTTGGGCCTACGACCTTAAAACGGTTTCAGAGGATATGATTAGGAAGCGTGTTTTAAGAACGGGAGATGGCAGCCATGAAATTTGGGGATGGGGCGACAAAGACCAAGACAAGGAAGATTACAATGATGCACTCATCACTCACAAAAAATGTTAAACAGTAGTTCCAGAAAAATAAGACCTATTTACTTAATATTTTTGCTGCATTATATTTTTTTATGAAAGGAGTTGATATTATGCCTCTATTTATTTTAATATATCAATCTAAGTTAAAATGATTTTTATTTATAAGCCTATTATTATTTAGTTTTTATAAATCTGCATTTCTTTGAAAACATAATATACTTTTATGACCAGTTATATTTAGTTTGTAAATGTGCAGTGAACGCATTTGTAATGAAACGAATCTTTTGACTAGACAGTTTCATAAACTCTGTTGAATTTAATTTAGCAATGATGTGTTTCAAACTGATGAAATAATTCTATATAAGGGTGGCTCATTTTATAAATTTCTCCTTGTTTCATTATTATTTTCAATTATATATTCAAGTCAACCAAAATCTATTAAATAATAGCCATACACAAAAAAGTTGTCTGTACTTTCCATGCGACATATGTTAACCGTAGTATTTTTGTCTCCTGATCACGAATCCGGTGTCAGAGTTCAGCTATTACATCACAGGAATTTCCTAACCTTAAAAAAACAGGATAAAAATAGAAAAAATTTACGAAAAAGTGCTAGGAAAAATACAATATTTTTTTTTTTCTATATTCAAAAGTTCATTTATATTGTTAAGACTCCGTCGAACGTGAATCCGCAGTCAGAATTGATGGTTCTTTTTCTAACCCCAAAAAAAAAACGAGTCAATTAAGGTCAGATAATCTAACGAATTTTCAAAAAATTACAGATTTGCGCCAAATTTGGTATACGGGGAATTTCGGGGTCGATCACGCATTCGAAGTCAATTCCGGTTTCAATAGTGCATTTGAAATTTTTTTCCGTACTCATTGGTTCCAATTTCTGTTTGTCCTTACTTATTGCTCTACCAGCTCTTCACAAATATGACTTGAATGGGTACTAGCTTCTTGTTTGGGCCCTCCAAAGGGAGACACTACCCTCTGAAGACAGTTGAAATGTAACAAATGTATAAAGATGTACCTTTTTTTATTCTTCCTGGATTGTTGTATTTCTTCACCATATGTGTCTTCAAATGTTCATTTTGTCTTTTACGACTTTACATCAAGTTTTTAAACAGTTTTAATTAAAAGTTTGTGGGATGCAAAATTTTTAACGGTCTCTCGCTGCCAATTTCAAAATCAACTAACTTTTTGTTTCCCGGTCTGTTTCCTAGTGACCGCACTTGCGTAAGTAGGTATGTTTTCAGTTTACGCTGCACTCTTGTTATAATGCTATTGAGTATAATTTTGAGAACTAATGAAAAAATCAATTTAATTTTAATTATAACTAAATATTCTTAATATTCTCTTTAATTCCTCTTTCCTTCAAATTTTGATTTCATGTGCTGATTTTTTAATTTATTGTCAAAGTTCTTCCCCTTTCAATTGAACCCCTTTCATATAGGCAACGTACAATGACATTGTACCTTGAGGCCGCATTTATACTTCTTGGTGGCAGGTGACGGATGTCAGGTGATAGGCGACAGGCGACGTCGCTTGTATCTGTTTTCCACTGTTTTAAATGCTACCATTTATAGTCTGGTTAGGTGGCAGGAGACGACACGGTGATGTCACCCGTATCTGTGATATGCGTCAACTGTAAGCGACATCATCCGCTCCACCCGCAGTAAAATCTATTTCTCCTTGGCGATTTTTGTTAAAATAAAGTCAAATGTCCCTATCCACATGCGCATTAATTCAAGAAACATTTCAGGATGGTCCCTGAGATCTCTGTAGAGATGATGAAATTCTCCATATTGACCACGAACTGCATTTACCAGGTGAACACTATTATTTTCTTCTTTTTCTTGTATTTCTATCTTCGTTTTCAGCCTCTAACACCAAAGCCACGACGCGTTTTAAACGACATCTTAATTAAGATTGAAGAATTTTCTCTTTCATCCAATACGTAACACTGGAAGAAAGTATAAATGTATTGTCACCCAACGCCTATCGCCTGTGTCTATCACCTGTCGACTGGAAATATAAATGCGGCTTGTCACTGTTGGAATCTATTCCTTTATTCTCTCAATTTTATTTTCAATTCATATAATTATTACACTAAACTCTAAAAAGGTAAACATCTTGTACAATTGCGGTCGGTCAGGATCAGTAGAACAGAGCGAAAACAGTCAAACACAATGTCTGAAATGAGGGAACAAATGTATGGGTCTGCTTACATATTTAAAAAAATAATAAAAATGAAAAAAATGCAGAACGAAGGGAAGAAAAAAGAGATGACAAATTAGAATGAGAAAAGCAGTGGGAAGCAAAATTAGAACAATGAGATAAAGAAAGGGACAAAAAATTAGAACAACGTTTACAACAGTTACAAAGAAACATGCAAAAGAATATACAAAAGAAGTACAAAATTTTTAGATGCAGCTAAACGAAGAGCGGAAATAAGGATTGAAGTAGAAAAATCACAAAACGAGAAAGAAAACTAGATGAAACAGGAAATATCAAAAGAAGTAGATATCGAGATGGAAGAATAAAAAAAATAACTAAGAGAAATTGCAGCCAATTTGGAAATAAGGTTAGAACTAAATGACCAAAAAAATAGAAGAATAACAAAGATTCGGGGAATTGGAACGACGTATAAGGATAGAAAGTGTGCCAATGGTTATAAAAACATATAAATATAGGGGGAAAATATAAAATTCTAGTCATCTACATAAAGCGAATGAAAGAATAGACTACTGGGCACAGATGGAAAAATAAAAGAATTTATTACAATGAAAGGAAACGATGAAACATGGTACGATCTCATTGAGGATCATTTTAATGCTTACGAAGAATTCGAAGTGTGAAGTGTTGTTTTTAAATTATTTCTGGAGAGATAAGGCAAATCAAAAGTGAGAAAAAATTTATAAACAGAAAAATATGATCAAACCTATGGTATAACCAGAGAACAGTATGCCATGAAGAAAATAAATATAGCAAGATATTTAGAACTACCAATGATGGAGGGCAACACAATAAAATACATTGCAAGACATTTTGTTGACGAAGATGCGATTGCGATTCAGGAAACTAAACAATATTACTGCAATAATTGAAGTGAGTAGATAAGATAAAGCAAGTAAAGAGACTATACTAAGTAATGATCAGAGCCGGATTAACAGTGTCTTAGGCCCTGAGGCGCAAGGGTTTGGTGGGCCCCCTATATATTAATCGAGAAAATATTTGGAAAATGACTGCTTTAAAAGTATTTTTGCAGCTTCTGATAACACAGCCACACCAAAAAAGTTGTCTGTACTTTTTATACAACATATGTTATCCGTAGTATATTTGCCTCCTGAACACGAATCCGGTGTCAGAATTTGAGCTATCATATCACAGAAATTTCCTAACCCCAAAAAAACAGGTCAATAATAGCAAAAATTCACGAAAAGTTGCTAGGAAAAGTACAAAAAAATTTGTTTTTCTATATTCAAATGTTTATTTATATGGTTAAGACCCCGCCGAAAAAACGGGTCAATTAAGGTCAAATACCACGAATTTTCAAAAAATAACAGATTCGCGCCAAATTTGGTATCCGGGGGTTTTCGAAGTCGCTGATCATGGATCCGAGGTTAATTTTGCCCCGAAAACCTCCGTATACCAAATTTAACGCGAATGGGTTATTTTTTGAAAATTTGGTCGACATCTTGGATCCGCCATATTGAATTTTGCAAAATTGACCTCGGATACGTGATCAGCGATTCTGAAAACTCCTTATACCAAAGGCGCGAATCTGTTATTTTTTTAAATTCGTGATATCTGACCTTAATTGACCTGTTTTTTTGATGTTAGATAAAGAACCATCAATTCTAACCGCGGATTCACGTTCGGCGGGGTCTTAACCATATAAATGAACATTTAAATATAGAAAAAAATATATTTTCTATCTTTCCTAGCACTTTCTCGTGAATTTTTTCAATTTTTTATCTGTTTTTTGAGGTTAGAAAATTCCTATGATGGGATAGCTCAATTCTGACACCGGATTCGTGATCAGGAGGCAAACACACTACTGATAACATATGTTGCATAAAAAGTACAGACTACTTTTTTTTTGTGTGGCAATTAAATTAACGAAATATGCAGGTAGTTTCGTTATAGGCTATTGACTATGTACTTTAGATAGGAACTACAACGTAACAGAAATTTTATTGTTTGATATGTTCAATTGTCCCTAAAAAATGATAAAAGACCGTTACTATATGATTTTGATGCCCATTGCTTGCTTCATTCTTCCAACATTGGCTCCAATGTATTTGTGGAACGAAACCTTTGTCGATGCTTTCTGTATTAATATATTTAGATATATTCTTACTTTACATGCCACCTGGTTAGTCAACTCAGCTGCTCATCTTTATGGACATAAACCTTATGATAGGTAAGATAACGTAAAACTAATAGATCCATTAAATTAATTAAATTCAATTGCAGGTATATCAACCCATCTGAAAACCTGACAGTTTCTCTCCTCGCTCTGGGCGAAGGATGGCACAACTACCATCATACCTTCCCATGGGACTATAAAACTTCCGAGTTGGGAAAATACAGCGTAAACTTATCCGCTGCCTTCATTGACTTCTTTGCTAAAATAGGTTGGGCCTATGACCTTAAAACAGTCTNTAAAAGTTTTAATATGCGCCACACACATTATTCTAGATTAATTAATAATTAAACAGTTTAATAAGCCCATTTCTTTCAGTGTAGTAACAAATAAAAGTATAATGTTCCACTTTTGCAGATAAGATACCAATTTAAAACTCCAATAATTCGAATAAAAAACTACCAATTTTCTTAATAGGGCATGGTAGGTACTTCCTTCTCAGAAATACAACTTCACGCCAATAAATATTTTTTACGCTTTCTAGATTTTTATTTTTGAACTTTTTTTTCTTAAATGAAGTCCTATATCATTAATCCTAACCTAAACTAACGCTGACATATAATATAATACCTCAATAGTGATCAATGAAATTTTTACACAAATTTTATTTTTATTGTTGGAAATTTGAACCTTTCGAAACACATGCTTCTCATTTTATCCATTTTAAAAATTTTTGTTTTTTTGTTTCTAGCTATTATTCTATACCAACTTGGCTCATTGGGTGTAACCGCCGGAGCCCACAGACTATGGTCCCATCGTTCCTACAAGGCAAATGTTCCTCTAAGAATTATTTTAACTGTATTTAACACAATGGCTTATGAGGTATGCTGTCACCGAATCGTAATATATCTTTAAATCTTCAAATATATATGATACCAATTACAATTACCTACACATTCTTACAGAATTCTGTAATAGAATGGTCGAGAGATCACAGAGTCCACCACAAATTCAGCGAAACCGACGCTGATCCTCACAATGCCAAACGCGGATTTTTCTTTTCTCATGTCGGGTGGCTCCTTTGCCGCAAACATCCCGATGTCAAGAACAAAGGAAAGGGTATCGATATGTCTGATCTGTATGAAGACCCTATTCTTGCTTTCCAAGACCGTTACTATATGATTTTGATGCCCATTGCTTGCTTCATTCTTCCAACATTGGCTCCAATGTATTTGTGGAACGAAACCTTTGTCAATGCTTTCTGTATTAATATATTTAGATATATTCTTACTTTACATGCCACCTGGTTAGTCAACTCAGCTGCTCATCTTTATGGACATAAACCTTATGATAGGTAAGATAACGTAAAACTAATAGATCAATTAAATTAATTAAATTCAATTGCAGGTATATCAACCCATCTGAAAACCTGACAGTTTCTCTCCTCGCTCTGGGCGAAGGATGGCACAACTACCATCATACCTTCCCATGGGACTATAAAACTTCCGAGTTGGGAAAATACAGCGTAAATTTATCCGCTGCCTTCATTGACTTCTTTGCTAATATAGGTTGGGCCTATGACCTTAAAACAGTCTCACAGGATATGGTTAAGAAGAGGGTTCTAAGAACAGGAGATGGCACCCATGAAATTTGGGGATGGGACGACAAAGACCAACCCAAGGAAGATTACAAGGATGCGCTTATCACTCACAGAAAATCTTAAACGATAGTTCCAGGAAAGTGTAGTTTCATTATGTACATATAGTTGATAAGTGCTACTTGAGATACAGTAAAGCAAAACTACTTAACTTTGATAAAATAACTGAAAATATATGTTTTCTTGAAGACATAGATTGAGATTATGCCTCTATTTATTTTAATATATCAATCTCACTAAAAATGATTTTCATTAATAAGTCTGTAATTATTTGGTTTATAAAATTCTGCAGCCCTTCGAAAACATATATTTTTATGACCAGTGATATTTAGTTTGTAAATGTACAATGAAAGCATTTGTAATTAACAAATCATTTGATTAGATAGTTTGATAGATTCTGTTGAATTTAATTAGGCAATGATGTGTTGCAAACTGCAATATTTCTAAATNATACTAAGTAATGATCAGAGCCGGATTAACAGTGTCTTAGGCCCTGAGGCGCAAGGGTTTGGTGGGCCCCCTATATATTAATCGAGAAAATATTTGGAAAATGACTGCTTTAAAAGTATTTTTGCAGCTTCTGATAACACAGCCACACCAAAAAAGTTGTCTGTACTTTTTATACAACATATGTTATCCGTAGTATATTTGCCTCCTGAACACGAATCCGGTGTCAGAATTTGAGCTATCATATCACAGAAATTTCCTAACCCCAAAAAAACAGGTCAATAATAGCAAAAATTCACGAAAAGTTGCTAGGAAAAGTACAAAAAAATTTGTTTTTCTATATTCAAATGTTTATTTATATGGTTAAGACCCCGCCGAAAAAACGGGTCAATTAAGGTCAAATACCACGAATTTTCAAAAAATAACAGATTCGCGCCAAATTTGGTATCCGGGGGTTTTCGAAGTCGCTGATCATGGATCCGAGGTTAATTTTGCCCCGAAAACCTCCGTATACCAAATTTAACGCGAATGGGTTATTTTTTGAAAATTTGGTCGACATCTTGGATCCGCCATATTGAATTTTGCAAAATTGACCTCGGATACGTGATCAGCGATTCTGAAAACTCCTTATACCAAAGGCGCGAATCTGTTATTTTTTTAAATTCGTGATATCTGACCTTAATTGACCTGTTTTTTTGATGTTAGATAAAGAACCATCAATTCTAACCGCGGATTCACGTTCGGCGGGGTCTTAACCATATAAATGAACATTTAAATATAGAAAAAAATATATTTTCTATCTTTCCTAGCACTTTCTCGTGAATTTTTTCAATTTTTTATCTGTTTTTTGAGGTTAGAAAATTCCTATGATGGGATAGCTCAATTCTGACACCGGATTCGTGATCAGGAGGCAAACACACTACTGATAACATATGTTGCATAAAAAGTACAGACTACTTTTTTTTTGTGTGGCAATTAAATTAACGAAATATGCAGGTAGTTTCGTTATAGGCTATTGACTATGTACTTTAGATAGGAACTACAACGTAACAGAAATTTTATTGTTTGATATGTTCAATTGTCCCTAAAAAATGATAAAAGACCGTTACTATATGATTTTGATGCCCATTGCTTGCTTCATTCTTCCAACATTGGCTCCAATGTATTTGTGGAACGAAACCTTTGTCGATGCTTTCTGTATTAATATATTTAGATATATTCTTACTTTACATGCCACCTGGTTAGTCAACTCAGCTGCTCATCTTTATGGACATAAACCTTATGATAGGTAAGATAACGTAAAACTAATAGATCAATTAAATTAATTAAATTCAATTGCAGGTATATCAACCCATCTGAAAACCTGACAGTTTCTCTCCTCGCTCTGGGCGAAGGATGGCACAACTACCATCATACCTTCCCATGGGACTATAAAACTTCCGAGTTGGGAAAATACAGCGTAAACTTATCCGCTGCCTTCATTGACTTCTTTGCTAAAATAGGTTGGGCCTATGACCTTAAAACAGTCTCACAGGATATGGTTAAGAAGAGGGTTCTAAGAACAGGAGATGGCACCCATGAAATTTGGGGATGGGACGATAAAGACCAACCCAAGGAAGATTACAAGGATGCGCTTATCACTCACAGAAAATCTTAAACGATAGTTCCAGGAAAGTGTAGCTTCATTATGTACATATAGTGGATAAGTGCTACTTGAGAGACAGTAAACCAAAACTATTTAACTTTGATAAAATAACTGAAAATATATGTTTTCTTGAAGACAGAGATTGAGATTATGCCTCTATTTATTTTAATATATCAATCTCACTAAAAATGATTTTCATTAATAAGTCTGTAATTATTTGGTTTATAAAATTCTGCAGCCCTTCGAAAACATATATTTTTATGACCAGTGATATTTAGTTTGTAAATGTACAATGAAAGCATTTGTAATTAAACAAATCATTTGAATAGATAGTTTGATACATTCTGTTGAATTTAATTAGGCAATGATGTGTTGCAAACTGCAATATTTCTAAATATTTTTATAGGAACGCTCCTTTGTTCCTTTATTTTTGTACCAAATAGTACGAATTTAGTTAGTATTAACTTTTATAGTTATTTCTCATAATGACTACGGTGGCTAAATTATTATTTAGGTAAACCAAAATCAATTAAGTAATTTATATTAAAAATATTCTGATAATAGATTGTTTTATTTACAACTTTGCGATGCAAATTCAGTATATCAGAAGTTTGTATGTGTTAATGGGGAGCAATCCCAATTTGGGTTATAATATTTGGCATGTATACAGGATTGTAACTTAACAAATATTACATACTACAAGGGGACAATCTAGAACCCAAATGGTGTCGATTTAACTAAACTTGCTTAAGCGAAAAATGCCGCAAAAAAGTTGGAGGGTGTTAAAGCTTCTTTTTTTATTTCTGATTTTCTCCTTAACTCAGAACCCAAATAACCGATTTGAGTAAAATTAGCTGTTGCTTAGTTTCTCTTCATGAATTATGCAGTGATTATGTTCCTATTAGGTTAAATCATACAGGGCTTTAATTTTACTACAACCCTTTGTGAATATTCTTCTGTAACTTTTTTATAAGTTTAAATTTTTACACGCAACTATCAGAAGTAGGTAGAGAATTTTATTCTCCACAAAAATACATTTTTGAGAGTTTTACACTAGAGTAAATAATTAAAACCTTTTTTAACAAAATTTGGAAACAACAAACATATTTCACACAACAACAATTCGTTAATTTCGGCGTTAATATCCTTAAAACATTATGACAAAATATGGCGGTGTTTTGGAATTCCTACGTCAATTTCGTTCTATTTTCGCTGGTAGAGGAGTCTGTAACTATCAAATATCGAGTTTTCAAATACATAAAGGTATCCAGTAGGAGAAACATAAATTTTGGAGTTTCTGATGGAAATTATTTCCCCATTATTGTTGTTACTTTTTATAAATCACACAGAACTGTTAATGTTTGCTATCGACACTTACAAATAATAAAAGCTAACACTGTCGTTGAATTGAAGTCTTTCAACAAATTTATAAATGGTGTGAAAAAGAATACTCATATATCATGGTAAATGGAACTGAAACAAAACATGTAATATTACATTTACGAAATTCAAAAGAGATAATGGATTTAGTTTTAAATAATATATTCTGAGAAAATGTCAGCAATACCAAATTTCTAGGCCTATACCTATGTGGATAATAATCAATACTGGTCAGTACATGNACAATCTAGAACCCAAATGGTGTCGATTTAACTAAACTTGCTTAAGCGAAAAATGCCGCAAAAAAGTTGGAGGGTGTTAAAGTTTCTTTTTTTATTTCTGATTTTCTCCTTAACTCAGAACCCAAATAACCGATTTGAGTAAAATTAGCTGTTGCTTAGTTTCTCTTCATGAAGTATGCAGTGATTATGTTCCTATTAGGTTGAATCATACAGGGCATTCATTTTACTACAACCCTTTGTGAATATTCTTCTGTAACTTTTTTTTGTAAGTTTAAATTTTTACACGCACCTATCAGAAGTATGTAGAGAATTTTATTCTCCACAAAAATACATTTTTGAGAGTTTTACACTAAAGTAAATAATTAAAACCTTTTTTAACAAAATTTGGAAACAACAAACATAAATTTCACACAACAACAATTCGTTAATTTCGGCGTTAATATCCTTAAAACATTATGACAAAATATGGCGGTGTTTTGGAATTCCTACGTCAATTTCGTTCTATTTTCGCTGGTAGAGGAGTCCGTAACTATCAAATATCGAGTTTTCAAATACATAAAGGTATCCAGTAGGAGAAACATAAATTTTGAAGTTTCTGATGGAAACATTATTTCCCCATTATTGTTGTTACTTTTTATAAATCACACAGAACTGTTAATGTTTGCTATCGACACTTACAAATAATAAAAGCTAACACTGTCGTTGTCTTTCAACAATTTTATACCTGGTGTGAAAAAAAAATACTCATATATCATAGTAAATGGAAGTGAAACAAAACATGTAATATTACATTTACGAAATTCAAAAGAGATAATGGAATTAGTTTTAAATAATATACTCTCAGAAAATGTCAGCAATACCAAATTTCTAGGCCTATACCTATGTGGATAATAATCAATACTGGTCAGTACATGTCGACTATGTTGCCAGCAATTTGAATTCGACATTTTTTGCTATAAAAATAAGTAAAAAATATTAGATAAGTATTTATCGTTCGTCAACGATGCGCAACGAATATTTATTTTAGGAGAATTTCTCCTTAAATCGGCTAGACTCTTACATACCAATATTCAAAACAGATTGTATACTTAGTACATTTTATTCCTTACTCATCTATACGAACTTTTGTTAAACAAATTCCCTTTATGTGATACTTTACACACTCATGGTACAAAAAAAATGCTAATCATGTTATTAATATTATCGAAAATCTCTATACGGGCGGGGTAGGTTTGGGGTATGCTATTTTCAATTAACATAATTGATTATTATTCACAAAAAAATTCTAGTCCACGCAAGCCCAATAACGATACAATATTGTTGCATGTCAAATTTTACCATCCTAAAGGTTAATTATTTCACTAAATGGTAATGAACGAACCTCGACAATAAATTTACAAACATTGTACGTACATGCAGAACTATTGACAGTTATCCAAAATAAAGACAATAATTCGAATTAAGGAAAACCCATTACTAAAATAGAATTTAGGTACTCACGATAACGTAAACATTAAGTTAATTACTTTGTTTTTTGACCGATTTCAAATTTCCTTTTTTTAGAATGTAGGATAAAAAAACTCTATCTAACTGTAATACTGCTGTTTTTATTAATGCAATTCACGGCCAACTAGGACGCGTTTTTTGACGTGAAAACAGCTAATTGGTATTAGCTATTTTTTTCCAAAAAACATATTACTCATTCAGCATCCTTTAAAATGTCTTATCACCAAGTTTTATCAAATTCGATACACCTTCAGACGAGCACTAGTTGGCCCTGTATTGCATTAATAAAATACATCAGTTTCACAGTCAGATACAGTTTTTTTACCCTACATTTCATAAAAGAAATTTTTAAATCAATCGACCAAAAAATAAAGAAGTTACAGGCTTGTATTACATTTCGCGACATCATGGAGTGCTCGCCTGAAGATGTATCGATTTTGATGAAACTTGGTGGTAAGACGTTTTGAGGGATGCTGAACGAGAATACGTAATCTGTTTTTTGGAAAAAAAATCGCTAATACCAATCAGTTGTTTTGATGTCAAGAAAAGGCGTCCTAGTTGGGCGTGAATTGCATTAATAAAAACAGCAGTATCGCAGTTAGATAGAGGTTTTTTTACCCTACTTTCCTAATTAAAAATTTTTGAAATCGGCCAAAAAATAAAGAAGTTACAGGCTGTAGTATTTTTGGAACGCATTTTAGGAAGCATATCCATCCATATAAACATTTCTCGCATTTTGACGCCAATATTCGTACCTACTCAAGTACTCAAGTGACATATTACATTCAAATAAACGTTCAATTGCTTCTCAAAATACGGATAACGAAACGTGTTTTCTTAGGAATTTTTATTTTATAGTTACATTTTATTTTGCATAACAAAATCTGTATATGCAAATTGCAATTTTAATAATTGAAGTAATTTGCACACTTGCATATGCAAATATTAATATTCGAAACATACCTACTTAAAATTTAGTTCCGAAATTGTTTCTTATTTAACTTTACTTTAACACTATTCGCAGACTCATATTAATAGGAACTTTCTGTCTTATTTTTGGATGAAAAATCTACCCTCGAGTGAAGGAAGGTAATTTTTTGAAATAACCAATTAAACAATCAGTGATTTTAGGACTCATCAAGTGAACCTGTGTATTTTGCTTCGTGCTGCCCGCTGAAACGTAATTTTATTGCAATTGCTCACTTTTCATGCGCAGAGTGTACGTCTTTTCCGTACGAGGTAGGTATATAAAAGTAATGTTCCTAACATTTATATCCTTCGATTATAATTTGCGGTATAGTTCCAGCGTTAGGTCGGTTCATTATTTGTTTTAAGGAGGATTCATTGATTTCCGTTTCGATTATCTTCCCTTCAGTGAATACATATCAAAAGGGTAAGTTTCTGGTTATAATATACTTCTGCAAAAAATTAAGGGAGCAAAAAAATGTTTCGAATTATTAGTGATTTTTCAGAATGCTGTATCTCAATTAAAAATTATCGTATCAAGGTTTTAAAAAAAGCATTTTAAAGCGCCGAATGTCTAGTTTCCAGATTTCTTAGCTCAAAATTTTTAGGAGCGATAGTCATCGCGAAATTCTAAGAAATAAGACTAANAATTTTGGAGTTTCTGATGGAAATTATTTCCCCATTATTGTTGTTACTTTTTATAAATCACACAGAACTGTTAATGTTTGCTATCGACACTTACAAATAATAAAAGCTAACACTGTCGTTGAATTGAAGTCTTTCAACAAATTTATAAATGGTGTGAAAAAGAATACTCATATATCATGGTAAATGGAACTGAAACAAAACATGTAATATTACATTTACGAAATTCAAAAGAGATAATGGATTTAGTTTTAAATAATATATTCTGAGAAAATGTCAGCAATACCAAATTTCTAGGCCTATACCTATGTGGATAATAATTAATACTGGTCAGTACATGTCGACTATGTTGTCAGCAAATTGAATTCGACATTTTTTGCTATAAAAATAAGTAAAAAATATTAGATAAATATTTATTATGCTTTAGGAAATTCACATAAAGTGTTTAATAATACATTGGGGTTCGTCAACGATGCACAACGAATATTTATTTTAGGAGAATTTCTCCTTAAATCGGCTAGACTATTACATACCAATATTCAAAACAGATTGTATACTTAGTACATTTTATTCCTTACTCATCTATACGAACTTTTGTTAAACAAATTCCCTCTATGTGATACTTTACACACTCATGGTACAAAAAAATGCTAATCATGTTATTAATATTATCGAAAACCTCTATGCGGGCGGGGTAGCTTTGGGGTATGCTATTTTCAATTAACATAATTAATTATTATTCACAAAAAATTCTAGTCCACGCAAGCCCAATAACGATACAATATTGTTGCATGTCAAACACAATATTCAAAACAGATTGTATACTTAGTAGGTACATTTTATTCCTTACTCATCTATACGAACTTTTGTTAAACAAATACCCTTTATGTGATACTTTACACACTCATGGTACAAAAAATGCTAATAAAGGTTAAGTATTTCACTAAATGATAATGAACAGATGAACCTCGACAATTTACAAACATTGTACGTACATGCAGAACTATTGACATTTAGCCAAAATAAAGACAATAATTCGAATTAATGAAAACCCATTACTAAAATAGAGTTTAGGTACTCAGAATAACGTAAACAATATGTTAATTACTTGGAGTACATTATGCAACAATACCATATACAGGGTGTCGCGCTTAAATGTGATACAAGCCTGAAGCTTCTTTGCTTTTTGACCGATTTCAAATTTTCTTTTTTTAGAATGTAGGATAAAAAAACTCTATCTAACTGTAATGCTGCTGTTTTTATTAATGCAATTCACGGCAACTAGGACGTGTTTTTTGACGTCAAAACAGCTAATTGGTATTAGCGATTTTTTTCCAAAAAACAGATTACTCATTCAGCATCCTTTAAAATGTCTTATCACCAAGTTTCATCAAATTCGATACACCATCAGACGAGCACTAGTTGGCCCTGTATTGCATTAATAAAAACAGCAGCAGTTTCACAGTCAGATAAAGTTTTTTACCCTACATTTCATAAAAGAAATTTCTAAATCGACCAAAAAATAAAGAAGTTACAGGCTTGTATTACATTTCGCGACATCATGGAGTGCTCGCCTGAAGTTGTATCGATTTTGATGAAACTTGGTGGTAAGACGTTTTAAGGGATGCTGAACGAGAATACGTAATCTGTTTTTTGCAAAAAAAAATCGCTAATACCAGTCAGTTGTTTTGATGTCAAGAAATGGCGTCCTAGTTGGGCGTGGATTGCATTAATAAAAACAGCAGTATCACAGTTAGATAGAGGTTTTTTTACCCTACTTTCCCAAATAAAAATTTTTGAAATCGGCCAAAAAATAAAGAAGTTACAGGCTGTAGTATTTTTGGAACGCATTTTAGGAAGCATATCCATCCATATAAACCTTTGTCGTATTTTGACCTTTGACGCCAATATTCGTTCCTCTAAATCCTATAATTTAAGCCCGGAATTTCTCCTGTTTTACTCAAAGGTAAATATCAAAATTTCAGAAGTATGAAATGTTTAAAAGGTTACCATATATTCAAGATTTTTGGGAGTCCGGAGAAAAAGTTATGACACATTCAAAGGGATGAGAACCACAAAAAAATAACACCGCGTATATTATTTTCTTACATACCTACTCAAGTATTCATGTGACATATTACATTGAAATAAACGTTCAATTGTTTCTCAAAATACGGATAACGAAACGTGTTTTCTTAGGAATTTTTATTTTATATTTACATATTATTTTGCATAACAGAATCTGTATATGCAAATTGCAATTTTAATAATTGAAGTAATTTGCACACTTGCATATGCAAATATTAATATTCGAAACATACCTACTTAAAATTTAGTTTCAAAATTGTTTCTTATTTAACTTTACTTTAACACGATTCGCAGACTCCTATTAATAGGAACTTTCTGTCTTATTTTTGGATGAAAAATCTACCCTCTAGTGAAGGAAGGTAATTTTTTGAAATAACCAATTAAACAATCAGTGATTTTAGGACTCATCAAGTGAACCTGTGTATTTTGCTTCGTGCTGCCCGCTGAAACGTAATTTTATTGCAATTGCTCACTTTTCATGCGCAGGGTGTACGTCTTTTCCGTACGAGGTAGGTATATAAAAGTAATTTTCCTAATATTTATATCCTTCGATTATAATTTGCGGTATAGTTCTAGCGTTAGGTCGGTTCATTATTTGTTTTAAGGATTTAAGGATTCATTGATTTCCGCTTCGATTATCTTCCCTTCAGTGAATACATATCAAAAGGGTAAGTTTCTGGTTATAATATTGCTTTTCGGATTTGCATGTTTTTTTTATGCACATTACATAAGTAGGTACTCTTTTTAAATCACCTAATTAACTTTGTTGTAATGTCCTTAACTTGTAGTTATTATGTAGATTTACACATCTTAAAAAATGTGTAGGTACTGTAAACTTTAACTACTCCTAATAAAAGTGTATAATATAAGAAAAAGATTGAATTTAAGTTTCTAGTGTTGTTGCTTTCATTGTACGAGATTAGTTTATTTAAACATATCTTAGCATTGACTGCATTAATTTTTAAACTAAAATTAATTGTTTTTGATTTATTATATTGCTATGTGAAACAATTTATAAATTTTTTTGATTTGTACATTTACATATCATTTATTAAATAGTTACCTACTTCAGTAAGATTAAATCAACTTATCTGCCAGGAAGATCAATTTCAATTATTTGAGCATCGTAGTTCTTCTATGATTTGTATTGGTTGGTACCACTTATGTATGACACTCGCACAGGTTTAAAGAAAAACTTGTTTCGTAATAATCCGTAACTACTTATCGATAGCCAGCTAATTCATTTTGTGACCAAACCAATCGCGCAGTGGGTAAGAAAAAGTGGCGGGAGGGACGAAGATTACATACACATTCTTTGACACGGTGACACAAATACCTGGGGACATAATTTCTATTACCACAGGTCATCAGACAAACTCCAACAAAACTGCTAGTCTTTCTACGTACCACAGCCTGCACTAAACTTTACTACTAACAGCATATACAATGGGTCACAAGACCTGAAGGAATTGCAACACCGCTTTTTATACAATATAATTGTTTGTTCATTTTCTTATATTTAAACCCAAAGATCAAGATCTTGTCTAGCACCGATTAATTGCTGAAGAAGAATAAGAAAAAAAAGTAGAAATATGGAATGTTTTATTTAGAATTTTATAATAGACGAGCGGTCCACCCTTAAATAGATGCTTAGAAAATCAAGGTCACCGACCACGAAGAGGGGCCAGGATGAAATCTTTTGTAATCGATGTATTGAGTTATTGCGAACAAAAAACCTAAGTAACATTTGTGTGTCCGAGTGGTAGGTAATTTGTTATTAACAAAAAAGTTGCAAAATAAAAATATTGCAAAAAACGCTCTGCAATTTTCTAAGGTAAACTGGGAAAAAACAAACACTTTTTATCTCTTGACATTTTTTCGTAAAACGCTTCCTTTTCGAGCTAGGGGCGATTTAAGGTCGAAAAATGGCTAAACATATTATTAATCTTATAAATAATTATATGATATACAATATTTGATGAATTTGAACATATGTATGAGTGTTAGAAATACTAAATAGTAAAAATTGTAACAAGTAATTAATGAATAGCGTTTATTCGATTATATGCACGACAGCGCTATATCTATAGGTATATAGCGATACTTAGGGGATAAACCCTTGGATTGTCCTACACAGATCTCAATACATTTTCTTCCATCACCGGTGTTCTTACAAATCTGTCTCTGCCACGATCATTTACTCTTGGTTGGAACGAACCATTTTCTCTTAAACGTTGATGGATCCTCTGTAATACCTGTCGAGAAGGAAGTCTTCTATTCGGGTATGCTGCNTAAATGTACTTAATTATTTCAAAAATTATATATAAATATAATTTTTAAAATAATTACTTGACTGTAAGATTCAATCAACTTATATCTGTAGGGAAGACCAACTTCAATTATTTGAACATAGCGGTTCTTCTATGATTTGTATTGGTTGTTACCACTTATGTATGACACTCGCACAGGTTTAAAGCAAAACTTGTTTCGTAATAATCCGTAACTACTTATCGACAGCCAGCTAATTCATTTTGTGACCAAACCAATCGCACAGTGGGTAAAAAAAAGAGTGGCGGGAGGGCCCCTCCATAAGAAGAATTTCGATGCTCAAATAATTAAAATTGATCTTTCTTACATGCAAGTCGATCGAATAATTAATGCAAAGTGCAGTAAAAAGTTTCTCAATTATGTGCT